CATGTGCTGGATAGCTGTAGTGTCAACTTGACACACCTGGGTTGAGGGAACCTCAATTGGGGAATTGCCTCTATGGGACTGGCCTGTGGCCATGTCTGAAGGGCATCTTCTTGATGAGTGATGAGGGAGGGCCCAGCCCACTGTGGGTGGTGCCACACCTGGGCAGGTGAGCTTGTGTTGCATAAGAAAGCAGGCTGAGCAGGGGCCAAGGGAGCAAGCCAGTAAGCAACATTCCTCCATGGCCTGTGCTCCAGCTCCTGCCTCCAGGTTCCTGCCCTGAGTTCCTACCTTGGGCCCCCTGATGAACTGCGGCCTGGGAGATGCAAGATGAATAAACCCTTTCCTCCCCAAGTTGGTAGTGGTCAGAGTGTTTTGTCACAGCAATGAAGAAACAAACTAGGACACTCCATAAGATGGAACCTATACCTGGCACTGTTATCAGGGCCAGGAGCTTGTGGTTAGATAGGGCCTCCAGGTTCCTGCCCTGAGTTCCTACCTTGGGCCCCCTGATGAACTGCGGCCTGGGAGATGCAAGATGAATAAACCCTTTCCTCCCCAAGTTGGTAGTGGTCAGAGTGTTTTGTCACAGCAATGAAGAAACAAACTAGGACACTCCATAAGATGGAACCTATACCTGGCACTGTTATCAGGGCCAGGAGCTTGTGGTTAGATAGGTCATGGGAGAACCTTCTACTAATATTCTACTATAATTCTATTAAATGGACAGAGTATGAAAATGACTCCTGATGACCTGTTGCTCAGCCCATAGATTAGTGCATCTCTCAACCCTCATCAGAGAAGCTTCTTGCAGTCGAAGGCAGTTATCACAGAGACCCACAACTGGTCAATGTGCAGAGAATAAGAGACTTATGAAATGCTCAGCCCTAAATGGGACAGCTACATCACATCCCTCCCCAGAGGCTCAGGGATCTTTTTGGGAAAAAAGGAAGAAAGACTGTAAGAGTCAGAGGTGGTGGATGACTGCAAGGAAACACCATGTTTTCTAACAGCAGGGTAGTTGCACATACGAATTCACAGCAGTTGTGACAGCATATACAAAACATGCTCAAGTTCAAGCCTGACAAAATCCCAGCATGGAGGGTAAAGGTAGGCATGAAGTTCCACCCCTAGCTAAGGAGCTATTGGAATTAGACAGCTTCCGAGAGGAAGAGTCAGTTTTTTTTAAGGATGTATGCTGGTAGGTTTTCATCAACTTGATACAAACTAAAGTAACCTGGGAAGAGGGAACCTCAGTAGAGGAATTCCCTCCATCAGATTGTCCTTGACCATGTCTGTGAGGTATTTTCTTAATTGCTAGTTGATGTAGGAGAGCCCAGTCCACTGTGGGCAATGCCATCATGGGCAGGTGGGAATGAGCTGTATAAGAAAAGCAGCTGAGCAAGTCACGGGAAAGAAGCCAGTAAGCAGCATTCTTCCATGGCCTCTGCTTCAGTTCCTACCTCCGGGTTCCTGCCTTGAGTTCCTATCTTGGCTTCCCTTGATGGTGGACTGTCCTATAAGCCAAATAAACCCTTTCCTTCCAAAGTTAGTTTTGGTCAGTGTTTTATCACAGCAACAGAAAGCAAAGTAAGACATACTGTGACCCCTGGTGGGTCCACCACACTCCACACTCACGAGTCTTTGAGCAACACAAGTTAAACTCAATGGGGAAGAGAAAAAACACAAAGTCAGGTGGGTAGGGAGGGGAGGGAAATTACATTGTATGAACCTATTAAATAATTAATAAAATAGAAAGCTTGCTTCGAATCTATTCTGGTGGCTCCTGTGCCTTCTTCAAAGGTGAGCACACAGATATACACTTCTGGCTACATACTTCTCTTGGCTAACGGGGCACTGGCTAAGAAGTCTTCTGACAGCAATTTCAGTGTCCTTGAACTTTTGCTTTTTGAACAACAAATATGTGTCATTGTGAAGAATTACAAGCTACAATAAAATGGAGGCAACAGAGGAAACCATTCTCAGCCTTTCTATCCAAACAGAATTATTGTTCACATTTGGCTATATTTCCCTCAAATCTTTCCATGTGTGTTTTGATGCAAACGTCTGTTCTGATTTACAAACATACTCATATTTAATTATTTTTCATAAGCACTTGCCATAAATCTCAAGGGAGGTCTGTTGACTCCTGATGTCAGTCAGTGAGCACACAGCTTCCTAAGCTGTGGGTTTCAACCTCATATGAGGTCATGTAACTAAGTATGAGGGTCATGAAAAATTCAATAGCAGTAAGAGTTTCTAAACATGTATTTTCCAAAATTAATTCAAAATCAAATTCATGATGAAGTCAAGGTGTTTCTAACAGTTCTTTCCCGTGTTGCATCATGAGACTTCCCTACAGCTTTGGTTCTGAACACAAGATATATGCACTTGCCGTGTACATTTCACCACACCACACAATTCCATACTCTTGGAATCACCTTGACTCAGATCCCAGACTATCATGTTGTTAATTGCAGTGTCTTAACTGGGCGTATAGAATTTCCAGCTCTTAATGTTTGAGTATAGGCAACAAAGACTGTTAACAGTTTCTTAATATCATTCCTCAGTGCGCCAATACCAAATTAGTACATCTTTGGATTGGATTGTGTTAGATTTTTTAAATTGCTGTGTGGGTTGCTGACTTGCTTTCATTTAAAATATTCACTAAACAAATTTTGGCTTGGGATCTTTCAACTGTTTGTGAAAAGGCCTTAAACAAACATCTGCTGTTTTTGCATTATGTATTCATACAAAGTAGTATTCTTAGTACTGATGATTATAAAATTAAATTATTGATCAATTCTAAAAAACCATAACAATGTACTACATGTCCTATAGTATCAAATATTCAGCTAAGATGTAATTATGTCAAGTAAACACATCCATCTCATTAATATGCAGATTTGCTTCATCCTTAAGAAATGATGAAATTATATACATATCAAAGAATCATTTTCAAGTGCATGTCTTTGTGATTTATTATCGGTAAATGCTTCATTTATGTACTTATTTTATATACCTATATTCTCCAGATCAGGTTAAATATTTCTTAAGTGAAAACTGGTCCTGAGTGGGGAAAGTTCAAGAAGCTCTGAATGAAAACAAGGTATTATGTTCCTTAAGAGTCCCCGGTTTTTATGTCTCCTCAGGTCTTTGCGATATTAGGAAGGCTATGATGGGAAGGCATGGAAGAACTTGGAGGTTCCCTTTAACTCGCTGCTTCTGCCTGGACGATCTTCCCTTGGAAGCAAGAGAGCTGTCTCCCGTGGTGGTTGACTTCCAAAGGCAGGCTTGCCTCTAGAAGGAAATGGATGAAATCTGCCCAGGGGCTCCTGTGGTCTAGTCCGGGGAAAGCTTTGCGTGGGAGCGCTGGGATGCTGCGGGAACTGGATGCATGGCCTGCACCTGAGTGAGGATGGTTCGTCGCGGGATGCTGGGGTGGATTTCTCGCGTGGTGGTTCTGCTGGTGCTGCTTTGCTGCGCCATCTCGGTTCTCTACATGTTGGCCTGCACCCCAAGAGGCAACGAGGAGCAGCTGGGGCTGCCCCGGGCCAATGGCCCCACGGGGAAAGAGGGCTACCAGGCTGTGCTGCAGGAGCGCGAGGAGCAGCATCGCAACTACGTGAGCAGCCTCAAGCGGCAGATCGCACAGCTCAAGGATGAGCTGCAGGCGCGCAGTGAGCAGCTCCGCAGCGGGCAGGACCAGGCCAGCGATGCTGCAGGCCTGCGACCCGCCTGGGGTCCCATGCCCAAAGCCCAGGCAGACCTGCTGGCCTTCCTGCGTGGGCAAGTGGACAAAGCCGAGGTGCACGCGGGTGTCAAACTGGCCACCGAGTATGCGGCTGTGCCTTTCGATAGCTTCACCTTGCAGAAGGTGTACCAACTGGAAACAGGCCTAACCCGCCACCCCGAGGAGAAGCCAGTGAGGAAGGACAAACGTGATGAGTTGGTGGAGGCTATTGAATCCGCCTTGGAGAGTCTGAACAGTCCTGCAGAGAGCAGCCCAAATCAGCGTCCTTACACCGCCTCCGACTTCATAGAAGGTTGGCATTTTTGTAGCTTGGGCATGGGGGCAGGGAGTTGGAGGAGACAGTTTGAGGGTACCCCGAGGCCAGGGAGGTCTTGGCTGCAGGAACCTGGCAGTTGGCTCTGGGATGGCTGGTGGCGAGGTTTATGGAAGAGTTTGATTTTTCAGAGCATCTGTTTCTACTTACTTTCTCTTGGAAGCTTTATTGTGTGCAGTTTAGTTGTTCTATGTCAGAAGATGGTGGAGCATCACGCTTTGGTTGGTAAAGTGCTCGCATGGATGAGGACCTGGGTTTGGATCCCCAACACCCTTGTAAGAAGTCAGTTTAATCAATCTGGAAGCTTCAGTGTCAGTGAAGGGGGATGGAGAGATGGCTCAGTGATGAGGGAGTACTTGCTGCTGGTCTGGAGGACCTGAGTTTGGTTGCCAGCACCCACCAAAGGACCTGAGTTTAGTTCCCAGCACCTAGGTCTATTGGCTCACAGTTTCAGTGATAGACCTTGTCTCGAAAAATAAGGTGGAGAGCAATTGAGGAAGACACCCAATGCTGACCTCTGGTTTCCACAACACGCACATCCCCCCTCCCCCCACACACAAAGAAATAAAACAAAATATAAATATATAACTCTGAAACACCAATATTCTAGGCAATTTCCATTGTATCTTTTCTCACAGATACTTATAAGAATTGGGTTACTTTTTCCGGCCCAGGAAAAAAGCACAAAATGAAGAGTTTGCATGTGCCAGGCCCTTTGGAAGAACTTTGCACTTTTTTCTCTCAGAAGAACCCCAGCTCACAAGAGACAAAGCGAGAATTTGAACCCAGGAAGTCAGAGCTCTGAGTGCAGGCTCTTAACGTCTGTGTAATGCTGTGTAGATCATCAGAGCTCACAGAAGTGCTTGCTTTTTTACTTTCTGTGGGTTTTTTATGGGCACAAGATAGCCCAGGATTAATTTGTGTTTGTGTCTGATTTTAGATGACAGCAACATCATCCAGTTCCTTGGCAGACTCATTAGTATCTTCTTGTTTATTGGTACATTATTACTGGTTGAAAAATGAACTAGTAATTTCAGAGAAGTGGTGCCTTCAAGGGCATCTAACTTCTTTCTACTATTTTGGATAAAATTTGCTTCAACATAGCCATAAATACTGCTGAGTCTACCTAAACCTGTTACCACTTTTGTGTGGAAACCATCTCATGGCCTCCAGGCAAGTCAAAAGTCCTCCTGGGCTAGGGAGACAGCTCAGATGGTAAAGTGTTTGCATTTGTAAGTATGAGGATTTGAGTTTGAACCCCCAGAACCCTTGAATAAAAAACTAAGTGTGATAGTGCATACTTGTAATCCCAATCCTGGGGAGGTGGAGACAGGCACATCCCTGGTGCTTTCTGGCTGGCCAGCCTAGATTACTTGGCAAGCTCCAAGCCAATGAGCGATCCTAGCTCAGAGAAACAAGATGGACAGTTCTTAAGGGAAAACATTGGGTGGCTTCCACATGCACACAAACACACACCCACACGCACACACACACACGCACACACGCACACACACACACGCACACAGAATCTTGCTGCTATTTCTGCCTGGTCCCTTTTGACAGTTGGTTGCCTTGTGACTTTTTTTTTCTACTTATAAATGAGTCATAAATTCATGCAGTTTTAAAATAACATCATTTTTCATATACCTAGAGTCAGATAAAGAAATAATCTACAAAATCAGTCTTTTCCTAAGAGGCTTTTTATTCACTTTATGTGATACAAAAAAAAATGCATAAAGCCCCCAGCTACCAACTATCATGAAAAGCACATAGTGAGCACTCAGTAAGGTTCAGGATAGAAAGATACAGCATCACATTTTGTGGTGCATTATGGTTTATGAGACACTTTTACATATAACATCTTACTAGCTGACCATCAGGGAATATCATTAAACATCATTTTAAAAAAATGTTGCTCTGCCGCTCTCCCCAGATTGTGCTACCCAGAGCTGCCCACGTACAAAGCAATTTGCAAAGAACTTGATTACAAATCAATGCCTGCAGTTTGAAAAGTTTGCCCTTTTGATTTTCAATCTGCCTTCCTTTTTGAAATCTCTGTCTGCTTTTCTTTGTATGACGTACGATGTCTTGATTATGTAAGGCCTATCTTTCTCAATCAGTGGTAACACCAACCTCTTGTCCCTGACTCTATTTGCTCTGAGATCTGGCTGACTATTACAGACATCCCCATCAAAGTTGCTCAATGTTGGTTTCCATGTGTAAAAAACAGCTGATACTTTAAGGCAGACCAATTCACATATCTTCCAAATTTGGCAAAACTTAGTCAATTACTCTTCTGTGATAGGTGAATTAAAAAAAAAACACTTTATATATATATATATATGCAGTTCAGGTTACTTAATTTTTAAATTCTTATCCATAGTAAGGGATCACAGAAAACATCTTTCATAGCCACGGGGAGCTGGGTATTTTGAAAGCAGCTACCAGCCAAAGGGAGTTTCAGGAAGTAGAATTTAAGTTCAATATAAGGAAGCCCTGTAACCAGGAGAGCTCATGCCAGAAAAAAAAATGTTCTATATTTTTATTTTGCCCTGAAATTTGCCAACAATGTGGCCAGTCCTGCTTCTAAAATTGTGAGGACAGGAAAAGACAGTAAAGAAGAAGGATGTTGGATAGAAAATTAACTATACAATTCCAACACCTTTGTAGAGGATCAGCTCTTTTGGGCCTTGCTGGGCTGGGGCACACGGACCCTCTACAAGGTATTGTTTTAAGACTGAGAAGCTGTCAAGAGCGACTTTCTGTTGCAGAAATTTTGTGATTGGTGAGTTTATTAACCTTACTTCAGGTAGTTTAGTTCCCATAGGACTTTGAAAAATGAAGCTTCACTGTTTCTCTTGACTATATTCCACATTAAGAATACGTTGTAAGAGAGTCTGGATGTAGCTTAGTGCAAGATCACTTTCTTTTTTTTCTGTCTTTGAGACAGGATCTCCCTGTAGCCCCAGCTAGCCTGGAACTCACTGTGTAGACCAGGCTGGTTATCACTTTCTTAACATTTGTAAGCTGCAGGGTTCTAGACTCAGCTCTGTTGAAAAAATAGAAGGCAGAATAAAAGAATGAGAGAGAGAAGAGAGGGAGGGAGAAAGGAAGGGGGAAAGGAAGGGAGAGAAGGATGGAGGAAGGGAGGGAGGGAGAGGAGAAGAGAGGGAGGGAGAGAGGAAGAGAGAGCGTTTGAATGGGAAAATAGTTTTCATAGAAGTAGAACCACAACAGATAGGTTCCTGAGCTGAACCACAATCTGAAAATACAAACTGAAATATTAAGGGTTACAGATGAGTGGGTGTAGAAAGTAGCTTTCTGGGACTTGAGAGGTGGATCAGCAGTTAAGAGCACTGGCTGTTCTTGCAGAAGACCAGGGTTCGAATCCCAGCACCCACATGGCTAGCTCATTTCCAATACAGAGTCTAACAATTAACCTCCTTTTCACAGACTTAGTTTGAAATAATTTTAGGGTTATAGAAGAGTTGCAGAAATAGTGAGGAGAAGTCAGTATTGTGCACAGCCGCGTACTTGATCAAAACCGGGGAAACAGCGTTGGCCCAGTTGGCCCACCTTCTCTGAGGTTTTGCTTTCTGTAATTTCAGCTGCTTTAGGTCAACTACAGTCTGGAAATATTAAAGGAAAAAATGCCAGAATAAATGGTTCATCGCTTTAAAATAAATTCCGTTATAGTATATTGTTGTAATCATTTATTTTATTATGTCTTACTATGTCTAATATAAAAGTTAAACTTTATCATAAATGTATATGTAGGACAAAGCCAGTTATATACTGTGTTCTGTACTCTCTCTTGGGAGTCTGGGACGCCCTTTGTGGACAGTGGGGAGCTAATATACAATGCTGATAACCAGCTCACAGTTTCATTTTGTTTTGTTTTCATATTTGCATACCTGGTGTTCTCTGAACTTGTTTAGAGATGCACTTTAGGGCTGGTTTGGGAACATTTCTTTGAATATTTCTTGGCCCTCTTCCTTTTCTCTTCTGGAATTCCAGTTATGGGTATGCAACACTGCTTGTCAGTTCTCAAATGTTCTGTCTTCTTGTTCGATTTTATTATTTCTCTATGTTCAGTTGGAGTCATTTTTATTGACCTACCTCAAGTCAATAGTCATTCGTTGTTCATGTTACTGGATTTTTAGTTTCTGGAATTTCCATTGACTTGTCATCTCCACCTCTCCACTAAAGTGGCCCCAGTGGTCTGCTCTTTCCACTGGAGCCTTTAACAGGTCAATGCTAGTATTTTAAACTCCTCACAGATAGTTAGTTCCTCATAATTTTTGTTGAAAGTCAGATACCATGTATAGTTTAAGGTAAATAAGGTTTGTATCTAAAAATGCCTTTTCTTTCCCCTAGGCCTCTAGTGTGTGTGTGTTGGGGGGAGTGGGTAAGTTCATCTACAAATGCTTCTCAACTTAGAATATGGTTATATCCAATAAATCCATCATCATACATTGAAAAAACTGTAAGGTGAAAAAACGCATCTAACTAATGAAGCTCGTTGCTTTTTCTAGTCTACCTTAAATATGTTCAATTGGACAAACTCATCTATTATATAACAAAGGAGTGAATGCTTCATGTACTTTGTTGAAAACAAAATGGTTGCTTAGATAGGCTTGCCTTCATGGTATAATAAAAATGGGCAACTCACGTCAGTGTAAATTAGGGACCAAACCCTTTATAGTCAGGAAACAGGCTAGTCTGAGGTTTGTTATTGCTATGGCTACCCTTACTGAACCATAGGCTTCTAATCATCCAGTGAGACCTTGTGTTTAAGGTGAGGATTTTTTTACCTGAGCACTGTCTGTCAGCCCTGTAGTTCAGGTGTCCCTTGTTCTGTTTCTTGGAGGAGGCTTCATTGCACTTTTCTGTGAAACAAGCCACTGTCAAAACTTCCTAGTAATATTCTGCTGTGACTTATTTCTACAAGCTTGTTAGCTGACTATACAGGGCAGTGG